GATTTCCATTCCATAAAACTGATTCAAAATCGCATAGAAGTGAACCGGTTATTTGATTAAAAGTTCACTTTTAGTAATGAAGTAACTGATTGCTCAAGTTGTTTCACCTCAAAAGCCAAGTTTGATGTTCAATTTAATGTTAGATTTATGTATTTTATGTGATTATTTAAGGGTCCAATGCTAAATATATTAGGCTAAACATCGAGACTACCTAAAACACTGCAATCTGGTCAAAGATTGACCCATGCTGTTTCACAAGTGGTACACCTTGATGAAGAGTAAGACTTGAAGAGTCAAAGTCACTTCATTGATTCAATTATTCACTATTGGCTTGTTCCTTCAATTAATTTACAGTTATGACCCTCTGCCTTTAGAAGAGCATAAGCACAAAGGACTAAATGTCAAAGAAACCTAGCTATATATTGTTTGATTGCCTTCAGAATCAATACCGGTAAGCAATTAGAGTTGAAATACTTGCTACTCTGATAAATTATTTTATTCGTGAATTAATAATTAAACAAGTAATTTTATATGAGGAATTTGTTAGGTATAAAATAAAAGTTTTGATGCTGCGATTATTTATTTGTGTAACTAGTGCTGCACATGTGGAAAGTTTCTCGAATGCTGCAAAGGCACTTTACGCTCGTGTTACACATTATATTTTTCCTACATTTATTATAAAGCTTAAAAATAATTAGTCTTTCAAACAATAAACAACACGTTTTATCTCAGGTTAAATCCAAGCGTTGGACGTAATGAGAAAAGCGTACAGTAAGTATTACTTGCCTAATAAAAGCACACGGTTTTTGTTGTTTGGTTGGAATACTAGAGTGCGGAAATAAATGATGTGGCAAAAGTAAACTAAATCAGCACACTATAAAAACCACTAAAAAAAAAATATAATCTTTTCTACCTCTATAATGGTGAAGATATTATTTTCATGGCTAAGGATACATTGAAAGTCCAATGTCTATTTGCTGTAATATTTTGGGTAAAAAATTATCGTTGGTCCTTGGTATTAATTGGTGCATGAAAACAACGCAAATATTGTTTAAATTGGTTTCCTACCAAAAATGTTCCTCTTGACTCTGCTGGTCTATACTGTCCATAATCTTATTCAGCTTACTATTCTACAAAATTTATCATAATATTTGATTGAGAAGTTAATCGGGAAATAAATTTTGCACCCTAAAACAATTTTGCCTAGCACTTTCAGATTTGGTAATAAAAAGCCTACATGGAACAAAATAAAAAAAATTCTAAGGCTCATAACAGCATATACCTTGCTACTGGTATAAAATTTAGCTAAATACAGAGACATTTTTGGGATACCGGGACCTGAATAGGATTCCTTTTCTAAATAGAATTTAAAATTTAAATTATGAACAAAAAATTAAATTAATTTTTTTTATAAAAAAATATTACTAAGTAAATAATATACTCAGAAAAACCTTGGTAAAGGGGGATGATATCATCATTGGAACTGAATGTGGTTTATAGATTGTAAAATAATTTAGACAAGTCACAAGTTGCCTCAATTTATGTTTTTAATTAAAGCCAGGGGTTGGTTGGTAACGTAATTTTAAAGTCCTTAAGGGGCATTAGACAAGCTATTTTGAATCAATTTAATTAGAATTTACATTTTTTGCAATTAATAGGCTACCACTTGAGAAGATAAATATAACATGGCAATCTAAACTCATCACTGATAAAACTGCTACTACAAGATAACTGACGATACAAGGCCATGGGTAAATAGCTACTCCAGATAAAAAGTCTCACTTGTCTAAATGTTATGATTTTGATGCTCCCAACACAATGAAGATTAGCCTACCTTGATCATCACACGTAATTAAAAGTCGATCATAGTTTGATTCCTTTTTTTAATCCTTATTGAAACGGTGAAACCTATAATTGAATACTACAATACTAGTGAAAGACAGTTGAGCGGAGCAATCACGTTTCAATAAATTGAAACAACGTTTATAGATATTTAATCATCTCCTTAGTCTATGATATAATAGAGCACTACACTATTTCATCAATTTAACTCAACAGTTTGCTCAGAACTATCAACATCTATAACAAGATTCATAAGTTAAGATTGACCCCCAACATAAGTATGTTTGACCTAAGGAACATTTCATAGGGCTACATTGTATGGGTATTTTTTCTATGTTTGCTTGCTAATGTCATCTGGCGATGATCTGGCGAACCAACAGTTCTGGTTGAAACCGGCATCAACCTTATACACTTTTAAAGTGTACACTCAGTGTAAATAGTTGGGGGAACTGACTACTTCTAGCCTATTTTGAATAAATAATAACATTTTCAGGCAACAATAAAATCAGCTGATTAGTTTGTAAACATGTACGTTGACTTTCACCGCAGCTGATATGAAAAGTTTGGGTGTTTATAGAGTGAATTTTTAAGTCAGTAAAAAGGTGTGCAATATTTTAGACATGATAAATAATTGATACAAAAATACTTTTAGGGTTAATGTGATATTTTTTGATTGTTTGAAATGGTCTGAAAACCAAAATACTTTGCAAATCGGACGGAGACTGTTGCATTGTTGCGGCAGACTTTAGCAGCATGCCTCGGCGTGCACCTCCAGCTGTCACGTATCACCAAAGATGCCATATCTCAGTTAATATTAGTACTATCTTAGAAAATAAGGTGTCAGTCGGTTTGTAAGTAAATTTCCTTAAAAAGCAATGCTTGTAAACTTGTTGTAAAATTAACGGTTTTAGAGTTATCGGAGAAAGAAAATTTAAAATGGCCGCCATTTTGGATTGGTACAATTTATTAACATGATACATTTTGCAAAGATTAGCCTCACCTGTCACTACTTACGTACCAAGTTTCAAGTCAATCGCTTAAGGAGTTCGAAAGTTATTGATTAATTTGTGAAAATCACATACAGAACACACAGACAGAAAACCAGGCATCATATAGGCCTACCCATGTTTATACGGCGTTTTTGCATTGTTTGACCTAAGGAACAAATATACAAAAGGGTTCCAGAGAGTTACGGGACATCCTGAATAGTCTTCAGCTATGTACCTACGTCAAGCATAACTTAGAAGCACGGAAGCAGACAATATAAACACTATTCTTTAGCACCCAATAGTACTAAACAATAGTCATTAAAGCTGTTTAATTTAGAGATTATAATTGTGAAAAAATGTAAATATTAAGGTAAGTTACACTTTCCCCAACCCATCTCACCTAAAACGTTCTATGGGTGCGTTCACAAAGAAAGCTGGTTACAAGCGCTTGTTGGCAAGCGTTTACAAGCTCGAACCGGCGTGAGAAAAGTCAACATAGTATCAAGAGTGTGTGTTCACAGACAAAGCTTGTGCCGGCTAGCAAGCGCTTGTTACAAGCTCTGACAAGCACGCAAGAACGTTTCGTACTTGTTTTCCGGCGCTTGTTGATCGAACCAGTCAGTTACAAACTACTAACAGTAGTAACAGTGCAGTATGATGTCGATGAGTTGATAGCTCAAGTATTTAGAGCTTCCAATTTCAAAAAAAATATATTACCCACATATTGTGGTTTTACCCTAGAATGTTCAATAACGTAACCAATAGGACAAATATAACATATTATATGTATTAAGATGATAGACAAACACATTTAATTTAATATTAATTAAGTGTTGTGTTGGATTTTTTATAGATGAAACTTGTATACTTTTACTTTATTTACCTAGAAAATTAAAACATTTGAATATATTTCACAATATTATTTGCATCATAATTAATCAGCTACATAGGGTGTTTAAAACTCCCTTCAAGTATTTTTTAGGTTTTATTATTGGTCCAAAATTCGTTCTGGTGCATGGATAGGTTGCTTTTGCCAATCCCCCCAAAACTTCACTAAATCACTTTCAATTTTCTTGAGGATGTAATTAATCGTGATTAACTTCCGCGGTTAATTGCATGAACACCTTCCTAATTCTACATCCTTTTAATTCTACATTTTCAATAAAAAATAACTGTTCATCACTTGAGGAATATATTGTCTCAACCAGAGCTGAGACTACACTGAGCTTGAAATGCAAGCGTTTGTTGTGATCACACAACAGCATTCTCAAGCGCTTGGAACAAGCGCTGAAAGTAAGTTACTTGTAACCAGCTTTCTTTGTGAACGCATCCTAGACGTGTTTAAACTGTTCCTAGACACCAACACTACAACATTGACTTATTTGTAGCCGAGGCTTCCTGTAGACACCACGTCTAAATTACTAGACACCACGCCTGAAAAACTTGCATAAATATCGTAACAGGGTAGTTTCCTATACTAGACACCTCACCAAGATTACTAGACACCACGCCCAGATTACTAGACACCATTACCTATACCAACCTAACCTAATCCTAGGTAATGGTGTCTAGTAATCTGGGATTGGTGTCTAGTAATCTGGGGTTGGTGTCTAGTAATCTTGATAATGGTGTCTAGTAATTTGGGCGTGGTGTCTAGCTATCTTGGTGAGGTGTCTAGTATAATAAACTCGCCTGTCACGACGTTTAAGGGAGTTTTTCAGGGGTGGTGTCTAGTAATCCAGGCGTGATGGTGTCTAGACACAGGATGTCTCGGCGAACAAAAAGTCATTTTTGTGTGTTGGTGTCTAGGAACAGTGGGCACTCCTAGGGTTAAAAACGTCTAAATGTAAATCAGAAGACTTTTAGGTGAGAGTTGGGGAAAGTGAATAACCCAAAGGGTAATCTGAGGCTAGATGTAGCATTTTTATTGAATTTCAATTATTAGCATCACAGAACATTTTTCAAAGAAGATGGTCATGTAACAACAAATGACAATAATGTAAAAGAAAATCCCATGACAACTCAATTTAAAGCCTTTCTTTCATTCATCATCGTCCACTGGTTAAAAAGGTTCTCAACTAAAATCCCAAACCTCTAAAACCTGACAGTGACAGTAGCAACCAAGTAAGAACCAGTTTTCTAAATATAATCTTTTAGAATTTGGATTACCTTTGTATACAAGATCAGTGAATTCAACAGCAAGCCCTTTTGTCCGATCACTCGCCATAGTCATTCGCACAATTGTTCACGTAAACAATAACTTTGTCTACACAAAACTGTAAACACACACTACATGAATCAGTTCAGCTGGACACAGCTGACTGAGATGATGAGAGGTTATGTCTATCTGCTGGCATTCATTCTGCATCAGCAAGGGCCAAGGGGGGAAGAGGAATCGATGGTTTGAGGAGCTTTGAGTGAGCGAGACAGAGAGAGAAATATGTGTCAGCTACGCCCTAGCGTCGAGTTATTGAACAAACACGCACTCTACGCAGCATCAGCATCAGAAACAAAACAGCGACAGCCTCTGCTACCTAGCGGACAAATCCTCAACTTGGTACAGCAATAAATGTTGTGTATTCGAGAGAACGTTTTGCTTCAGACAAAAAGAGTACTGTACTGTATGCTGTCTGCACTGGTCGCTGGTCTTTATACACCACACCTACATAATATAAAAATATCATTTTAGTATAACGAGTTTGGTAAAACCGTGCACAAATACAGTTTAGTAATGAGTGGATAGTGATTATGAATCATTGCACGGTTCAAACAACGATGTATAAATACATCGATACAAATGAAGAAGAATAAAATCATTTGTAACACTCGTCATTACAAATCATCATTATATACAACTTGAAATATAATATTCATCATGTATGGACCTCGTTCTAACCATCTAGATTGGTTTGTGTTTGCTGGCAAAAATGTATTTCAATTACAATTTTCAGAGAGTTTTTTTTTTTTAAGTACTGTAAGACCACAGACAATGGAAAAAACCATATTGTCTGTGGTAAGACTGTAAGACTGTTAAAAATTAAATTATAAGGCTATGGTTGGTGTCAGTGCTAATTATTTCTCATAATTTATTATACCAAGGGAATTCAATCACTATGACAAGTGTTTTAAAGGGACAAAATTCAGAAATATTGTTACTTGTGGAATCTGTTCGATAGTTTATGACGAATCAAAATAACAACATATAAAATTGAAAATAAGAAACCAAGCAATAACATTTAGAGTAAAGATTAATTAGTATGTAGAGTAAATCAAATCAACAAAGTTTCATAAAATAAAATGAAAAGTAGTATAGTATAGTATATGATAGTTCAAGATAGTAGTTTAGCAATTCATATATTAATGAAAATGTGTTTAAAGTAGATACACCTTAAAATACCTACTAGGAGGCCTACAGGACACTACACACACACACCTCATATGTCGCCGCAATAGATGATAAATCTATCTATGTACGGTAGCTAAATTAGACAATAATAGCAACATTTTATAACCATACCTATCTAATAACATTTTGCTTTGTCTATGGCTTTGAACAGATTAAAGCGTTGTGTACCGCAACTTAAAAACGTGATAACGCCTGCAAACGTCGTAAGACACATATACACTACAAAACTGTAGTGCAAATTTGCCTAATAGTTATTGAAGGCGTTTATAAATGTATTTTGCAACATATTTATTTAGTTCGTTACTGCTAATTGAAATAATTAAACACAGGAATTTATTGAAATAGTACATTAGTGGTAACAAGTCGGTAAGAATCTTTTACTGACGTAATCAAGCTTTTTAAAGTAAGCAAGTGTAATTACTAATGTTCCCTGAGGTACACAAGGGGGTGGGGGTAATAATGTCCTCCAAGTTTTGGGGCATGAACCCCCAATGAAATCTTGCCCAATACGACCTGGACAGCGTCTCAGATTTAATTACGATTATCAGCAAACTGAAGTTTCAAATCTCTGATCCAATAAACTCATCGAGTGAAATTTGGCTAAATTTAGCCTCAAAGTAGATATAAGTAGTTCATTCTTTTGTTATCAAGTATATATTGTAGATGGTGGAAAGCGGCTCCCCCACAAAAGGTGGACTGTGGGACTAAATCTTAGACAACAGTCATCTGACTGTGGGACTAAATCTTAGACTTCAGTAATCTGACTGTGGGAATAAATCTTAGACTTCAGTCATCTGACTGTGGGAATAAATCTTAGACTTCAGTCATCTGACTGTGGGACTAAATCTTAGACTTCAGTAATCTGACTGTGGGAATAAATCTTAGACTTCAGTCATCTGACTGTGGGAATAAATCTTAGACTTCAGTCATCTGACTGTGGGACTAAATCTTAGACAATTAGACGTATAACCCACGCTGAGGATAGTTACACCAGTAGAAAGCCCACATAATATAAATGAAAATGTATCCGTATGACAAGTACTGAATCCACGTCGCGACTAATGTTGGTGTCATTAATATTTATGAACAGACGTCCGGAATATAAGTGACTCATACTCATGTAAATGCTCACTCAGTGTCGAGCATATACATAATACGTCTGTGTAATATTTGCCATGCTGTGACACTCAATAATTGGTCAACTTAAACAAAATATTTCCACATTTTTTCAAACTCTGTAAATATGATTACACACAACAAACAACTGCACTGAATAATTAAAAATAAGAAAAATACAGAGTAAGAACATTTCAATTGTTCTAAAGTATTAAAAGGGCTTCTCCAAAGAAAGGTACCTATGATAAAAGTTGCACAATTTAAAATTATAAAACAATAAACTTGATACGTAAGACTAGAAACGTACAATTATGACTTTTACTGTTAAGGCAGTCAGATGTAAAATACTTGATCGTGCAAAAAACAACTAACAACTTGACAGGTTTAATACAAATGAATAGCCCGTCGTTTAGGTATCATCAGGTGGTTACTTTATATCATTGACTATTAATATAGCACAGTAGTTGTTATATTAAAAGTCAAAGAAATAAATCAACCCATTTATAAAAATATCCATTTTTTAACCCCTCAAGTTGTGCACAATAAGCTGTTCCAGCTGCGATGCAATCACTTGTAAGCCTGGTCCTCTGTTTTTTAACCCCTGAAGTTGATAATTATTGTTTTTATGTAATCATTGACTATTATTATACTGTATATTAATATAGTACTGTAGTTAATATATTAATTTACTGTATATTAATTTGAATGCTTCAAATACTGTTGGTGTAATTATCTGATTAACTTATTTAAATACGAAATTTTTCTTCAATAATCAAAATTAAAACATCGGTTTGATCGCAATTTAAACTTAAAACCCCTATGGAAAGACCCTATTCGGATAATCACTAAAAACGATTGCGCTTGACTCCGTCCTTTGCAAATGTTGGTTTACACCCTACTCGATACAGCCGAAGCCATTAATGTTTATGGGGACGCTAATGCATTTTACACAGCTTAAGAGCTCGCCTAAAACCGCTTCATAAACCGCGTCATACCGGAGTTTTTAGTGAGGTTGACGGCCAACTTGACCTTGACTGTGCCATTCCATAGGCAAACTTGTCAAGTAAAGATGCGGGTTCTTCAACAAACTTAAGTATTCAAATCAAAAAAGTTAAAACTACAAGACTTTCAGCTACCGATTTTCCATTTATTTAAAACTTTATATTACATAACCTATTGGCTTGTACGTAATTACAAATTATATTATCCAGGGTAAAAAGTTCAAATAATGAACTTTGATGAATCTTCTTGAACTAATCTATTAAAACTGCGCCTAAACTTATAACTATTTCTCCCCCATTTCTTTTTTTAATGATTCAACTCGTTTTCGATAAAGAGTAATTCTAATCTTTTTACAATATGTCGTGACATTTTTGCTATATCTTATATTCTGTACTCACTCAGTACATTTTTGTAATATATTTATCGTTTCGTCAGTAGTTATTTTGAACCTAACAAAATTAAAAACCGATTAAAACATAATAATATGTTAGTTGGTTTACTCTTGAAGCCATTCTAAAATTGATTAAAACAGGACCTAGCTGTCCTACTTAAGGGGTCCTACTTAAAAAAAGTTGCCTATAATCAACTTGTGAGCGAGGCACGGGCAGAACTAGTTTTTAAGAGTTAAAAGAACCATAACATACTAAACTTTTGATAAAAATCGTTTGAACGGCGTTTGTAAAAATCTATAATTTCTAAAATGCTATTATAAAATCTATAGTTTATCCGACTTTTCCGACTTTTAAGGAGTTATACAGGGAAATAGCCCTTAGAAATCAAAATCTTAAAAAAAAGCAAAAACCACGGAGTTACCTACTATAAATTAGTAGCAACGTGCCAAATGTCAACAAAATCTGACAACAGTTGTAGTCAATAGCTCTGACTACAATAAACACAGAGACATCACATAGAAAACTACTTTTTAGTTCAGGGGGTCTAAAACATTCCCACCCAAAACTTAATATCGAACATTTTAAGGGGGAGAAACAGTGTAAGGGGATTAATTAAAAATGTTGAATTTTTTGACAGAATAATCTTAAACAAATAATCATGACATTGGATAAGGATACCATCAACCGCATGGATATTGCCACATGATGCATGACGTCACTATGTAAATAGTGACGTCATGCGGTTAGACAGCTGATTCTTTTATTGATGGGAGCATTTGAGGTTCAAGATCATCCGAAGGCCCCGACTCCGAGACTAGGCCAAGAACTCGTCAAATCTGCAATCTGCAATTGCAATTGGCGGCTCACGTCACGTATTGCTTAACACCTTTGATTGCATGCAATCGTTACCAAATGGTTATGGTGTGCTTAATTGCTTGGTGCTTTTATGGAAAATGTTTGTAAAAATCCCCCCGATGTTAAGCTAAGATAATCTATCATTAATAAAATTGTAGTGAGGAAGACACACACCACACTGCAAAAGTTTGTAAGTGGTTTCTATATTAGTTCATTCTTAAAAATTGCAACAATAATTTTATCCGTCGTTTATCTTGCTTAAATTTTTAGCTGCATGTTTAGCTTTAAATATACAGGGTATCACAAAAATCCGTAGCGTGCTATGCAGCACAGATTCTACATACAAAAATAAGATGGAAATCAGAAATTACCTTTTTTCCTAAATCGCATCGGTAACCAAATATTTGCCATTATGTATTTTCACATAACAATTTTGATCTTTGATTGTTCCAACCGATCCTTATGACATTTTGTATGTAGGTCAAGGTAGAATCGACCCATGTGGGGAAAAATTATCTTGATCCAACACAAAATTTTAAAATGGTGGCCATTTTAATT